CCCTTCCTGTCCAGCCTCAAACCCCTCACCTGAGTTCAGTGGTGCTTTCCAACCAGGCCCGTTGGCTTGGATGGGGAGCTGAGGTACAGCCGGGGTTCTACTTTCACTCGGGCTCGTGACCTGCCCACTTTGCAGCGAGGACGCAGGCTAAACCACTCTAGTAAAAGGTTTCAGAAGCTTTTTCTAAAAATTAATCCTGAGATTTTAATTGATAATTGTCGTAGGAAAATATCCTCATGGAAACTTACCCTCTTTCTCTGCCTTCGAGATCAGAAAGTGCAGTTGATAGGGCAGGGTCTCTAGAGAAAGAAAAGATCAGAGGAGAGGTGATTTCCCCCTTTCTGATAGGAAAATAGCCTCAGGAAAACAGGGCTGACTGGATTCACAAAGAAACAGGCGAGGTGACGCTCAGCATCACAACATCCAACATTTAGGCCCCTGGACAGTCACTGTGATTCACAAAGCCTGAGTCAGGCTCACTGTACCGTGAACGGGGAGAGAGATGCGCCTCGGAACGGGATTCACAAAAGCCAGCGTGCTAGGTGACTCCCTGCTTACGCCAGCCAGCGGGAAGTGCCACAGTGTGGGGTTGTGCTAGGCCCCGGCCCTCTCAGGGTGTTCAGCGACCGTAGGTGCCTCCCTTTGCATGGATGCCCGCATGCTCTCCTGTGGGAGATGTTCCACTGGGGATAATCAATAAAGATTCATTGGGGGGGGAGGAGGAGAGAGAACTCATGAGAATGTCTCTGTAGCAAGGTGGCTAGAGCATCCACCTGGGAAGTGGGAGACCCAGAAGCCTGTCCTCCTGCTCAATATTTTATACACAGTGGATTAGATTCAACACAGGAGACAGAGGAAGACCCACATCAGACCCCTGTTGGAATCCGTTCTTCCCCTCTGGGGGACTGGGGATTTCCCACATCCCAGGTGAGTATCCTAACCACAGATCTATAGGTTAGAACGGAGCTCCTCCTACTCCATGGCCTAGCTCTTTTGGGTAAGTTCACATATTGGGCCTGAGCCAGTAAGTGTGCTCAGAGCATGTGTATCAGATTGGGGCCTGTAGGTGAGTTAGGAGGAGGAACACCTTTCTTTCCCCAGTTCGTGTATCTCTCTGGGACTTATGTCTGGACGGCTAGACTGGAACTGCAGTGTGCATGCACAGAGGCAGAAACAGGTGCCGAGGGGACTTTTACTGCAAAAAGAGAGGTATTGAGTGATTTTAGGCCCCTACAAGGTTTGGTTGCAGCTGAGCGGGGGGCTTTGTGAATCCCAGTGGGGTCTGATTCTGGGATTTAGGTGCTAAAATGGCAGGTAGACCCCCAAGTCCTTGTGTGAATCTAGCCCTCACCCTTTCTCTCTGCCTTTGGGCTCAGAGGTCAGTTCAGAGGGCCAGGTCTCTAGAGAAAGGAAGGATTGGAAGAGGTGATTTCATGTTGTCTTGACTCTGGTGACATTCCTACCGTTAACTGATGTAATTGTGCTTGAGAGAGAAGCTTTGGAGCTTACTCAGAGCTCTTCTTCAGGTCTGTATAGCTCAAAAGTTTGTCTGTCACCAACAGGAATTGGTTCAATAAAAGCTGTTACCTCCCCGGCCTTGTCTAATATCCTGGGACTGACATGGCTACAGCAGCACTGCATGGAACTGTGCTGTAATTCTGAGACAGCCCAAAGGAAAAAAGACCATAGATTGAGAGGCACATTGGAATGGGGAGACCTTTCCAGCGAGACCAAACTAAAATGAAATTGTTGCCGGCACAGAGGGCCCGAGGGGGCAACAGCGGGGTTCGTTGCCCGGTGTGCTTCGCGCCAATAAACACACCAGGGTGGAGAAGCAGACAAAGTTTATTCAAGAGCTCTGAATAGGCACTAGGAGACCAGCATGTCTCAAATCAAGCGCAACAAATACAAGCAAGTTAGGTTGGCCATTATTTCCTCCTTTTTAAAGATGGAGGAACTTGAGGTACAGACACTGGGATTTTCAAAAGGGCTGAGGCCATATGGTGGCCAACTCCGCATGGACGGTCAGAGAGATGGGTGCCTAAATCCCTTAGGTCCCTTGGAAAATCCCAGCCAGGGAGGTTAAATTCAACATTTTCTAAAACATCTAGTGATTGTGTGTCTCTGAAATTCTGAGTGGCCAATTTTGACACCCAGGGTTGGGTCTGGGACAGTCCAAGTGGAGGCCTGGCGAACTGGCATCAGCCCTGAGCCCTCCGCATCCCACCCACAAAGACGTCTAGCTGGGACGAGCTGAGAACTAATAAGCCAGAGTCTATCTCCTTCCACAGTCAGAGCACATCTCAATGTACCATCACCGTAGCATGAACCCAGATAACTTAAGTTACCTTTGAATTTCTTCAGAGCCTCCTGTAGACAAACATTTCTTTGAGAAGAGACGCCGACTCTCTCTCTCAGGTCCTCTGGCACGGCCACTTGTTTCTCAAACTTCAGCTTCTCACACCTAGAGGGGGAAAAAAAACAAAAATCTCTAAATATTTTCTTTCTTTTGTGAGAATGAGCTACCAGAGGCTGCTCTCTTGTGGACTCATTGTGAGCCTCTAACTCCCACTGATGAGTTAACTGCCCTCCTCTCTGGAGTATTTAAATGCTTAGATCCTCAAATGGGAGTTAGAGAGTAAGGGGTCCACAAGCTGCCCCTCAGAGAGAAGGGCATAATCTCATGGGAAAGGATGCTCCACTAGTTAACGGGTTGCTATAGGACTCTGGAAACCTACCTTCCACTCCCTGCTCTGCCACAGCCTCCCTGCGTGACCTTGGGCAAGTCACTTAAGGCCTGATTTTTAAAGGTCGGTCCTGGGATTTTCAAAAGCACCTAACCAAGCTAGGCTCCCAACTGCCACTGATTGCAATGGGAGGTGCCTAACTCGCTTAGCTGCTTTGGAAAATTCCACCAAGTGCCTCGCTACATGTCAGGTGTCTAAATACCCTGCAAAATCTGACCCCAGGGGTCCAATCCCCTTCCAAAATCATGAAGCGTAAGGGGGAGTAGAAAGGAGCTACGTACCTGCTCCAGGTGCTTTTGATGTCCTAGAAGACAGAAAGAGAGGGAAAAGAGTTCAGTCCCACGTGCCACAAGCTGGGGATTGCGCCTGCTCTGGAGATGGATGACTCACTTTCCCATCCCTAGTCGAGCTCTAGATGCAGTTCTCTGTAGCTGCACCTTTAAAAATCCATTCACAGACTTCGATGGAATGGGACCCCTAAGCATGCACCATGATTGTGGGTTTTCTCCTTCTAAATTCTATTTTGCCTGTGCCAATGGCACTTGCTCAAACTGACTGATCAGACACATGAATCCCTGACTTCCACATGCAACAGCTGTGTCAGAGCGTTTGCCTTTCTCCATGTATGCAATTCTGGTCAGCAATTCTGGAAGCTGGATTCATTCCCGTTTCTTAATAGACTCTGCAAAGAACTTTGCTTTCCTAATCTCCCACTTCCTAGAAACTGGAGTTGTGCCTTTTATTGCTTCCATATCATTAGGGTCCTTCGTTTTCAGTTTTTATTTTATTTAATTTTTCCTGGGAATTTATCAGTGTTTATTACCACAACAAAAACAGGGAAAAATCCAGTGCAAAAAACTTAATTTTTCTGGGTAAATATCAGGGTTTGTTTTGGTGGATGGAAAGATGGGAAAAAAGTATTCAGTAGATTAATGCTTTGAATTCCATTCATCACTGTGGTTTGCTGCAGAACTAAAACACAATGCCACCTCTGAGTTTAAGAAAACAATAGATCTCTAATCCCCAAATAAAACTTTTCATTTGAACAAACAGTTTACTGGTGTAGACTTAGAATTATTGGCTTATAAATATTCACATTTGATAATTGGGCCATCCCATTTGCAGCGCATACACTCTACTTCATCCTTTGCTCCTGTTTTTGTTTCTTTAACCCTTTTGAATACTTCCTTGTGTTCTGAAATGTATTCTGATACAGATTTTCATTTTCTTCCCATTTTAGTGCATCAAATCTTTAACCCATTGTCTGCTAACTGTTTGAAATGTGTATGTGGTGGCCATGAGATTCATCAGTACGTTCAGATGCACACGCACATCAGAGCTTGTGTGCTTGCCTGTTGGTTTATTGTGTGTATCTTCTAGAAGAGAGGTGGGCAAACTACGGCCCGTGGGCCACATCTGGCCACAGAGCTCCCGGCCAGGGAGGCTAGCCCCCGGCCCCTCTCCTGCTGTCGCCGCTGCCTCGCAGCCACACGGGCAGCGCTCTGGGTGGCGGGGTTGTGCACTCCTGTCGAGCAGCGGGGCAGTATGTCTGGCTCCGGCCGTGTGGCACGGCTGCCAGACATGCTGCTGTGAGTGGCATGGTAAGGGGGCCGGGGCCAAGGGGTTGGAAAAGGGGCGGAGGGTCCCGGGGGGCAGTCAGGGGACAGGGAGCAGGGGGCGGTTGGATGGGGCAGAGGTTCTGGGGAGGGGGGAGCAGTCAGGGGACGGGGAGAGGGTTGTATAGGTGTGGGAGTCCCGGGGGGGGGGGGGGGGTGGGGGGGGGGGGGTGGGGGGGGGGGGGGGGGGGGGGGGGGGGGGGGGGGCGGGGGCCAGGCTGTTTGGGGAGGCACAGCCTTCCTTACCCGGGCCTTCATACAGTTTTGCAACCCCAATGTGGCCTTCGGGCCATAACATTTGCCCACCCCTGTTCTAGAACAATACGTTCTTACTTAAGCAGGCAGCTTTGTATATACACACACTGACTAATGTATTATTGGAATACAGAGATCTCATGCAATGCATTGTATTTTCCTAATAAAACAAGTTATTTTGTATATATTTGAATGATACAAAAGCAGGATGAAAATCAGAAAAAAAATGAACACCACTTCTTGTAAAACCCAGGAATTTTTGGTAAAAATTAGTTTAAACTGAAAATGAAGGGGCTTACATAGGATGTATCAAAAAGGCCTGAGACATCTGCCTTTAGAACAGCAAAACTGTTTCCACATTGGAAATATTAGAAGTGTCAAATTTTGTTTTCCCTCACTTTGCTAAAGGACACGCTGACAGTCTCCATTGTGGAGTGGGACCTCTCCAAGAACTACTTAAACTCCAAAGCTAATCAATCAGAATCTCTCCCTTCCCTGGGCAGGGATCTGGGTGTCTCTAACTGTCTCACCTGCAGGAATTCACTCGTTGGCTGCTGACACTTCTCTTCTAGCTCACTGATCAAGTCACTGAGACGGGAAATCTCCTCAGACAGTTTGGTGACATTTTCATCCTGTATCTTCACCATTTCCTTGTCCAACTCTTCCAGTTGGGCCAGCAGGAGTCGCTCTTGTTCCTCCAGGAATTGCCGCAGTTGCTCAAATTCAGACATGATCTTCTGCCTCTCAGCTTCTATCTTTCCCTGTAATGAAGAGACAAACAGGAAAAGGACAGGTCAGGGACTAGGGTTGCCAGATGTCCAGATTTTGACCGGAAAGTCCAGTTGAAAAGGGAACCTGGCAGTAGAAGTCCGGTTACTCACAGTAACTGGCTTCCACCACCAGGTGGTGGGAAGAGCAGCAGTTGCTGCTGGGAGCCTGGAGGAGCACTCAGGGATGGCTCTGGGGGGAGAAAAGTACGGGCAGCTCCCCTGTCCTGCCCCAATCACCCTTCTACCCCTGGAATGTGGCTCTCCCTGCCCCAATCACCTCCACACCCCTAGAGCCCTGCTCAGCTGGCAGGGGGAGGGAGGTGGAGAGAGCAGCAAGCAACAGTGAGAGGGGGAAGAAGAGTGGGGGGCGAGGCCTCGAGGGAAAGAGGCGGAGCATGGGACGGGGCAGGTTCCAGCGCTCAGCATCCGGTTTTCACAAATGAGAAAGTTGGACAGCCTATCAGGGACATGGAGAGAGTCTGGAAACAGTTCTTCGAGCCCTCTTTTCATTTCACCCTACTACAAACATACGGATGAGATTTCAGGAGAACATGCCTGATAGTCTCTCAGCTGGCCTGAATGAATAACATGTTCCAAAGTGCCTTGGAGACTTAGGAGTCCAATTCCTATTTTCAAAGTTACTTTTGGTGCTTAGGAGCCTAAGTTTCTTTGAAAGTGACTTTTGAAAATAGAACTTAGGGTAAATTTTCAGAAACAGCAAAATTATTTAGGAGCTGAAACTCATTATTTAGTTTTAAATGTATATGGAGCTGCTTTTAAAAGCTATTTAGGTGTCTAAAGATGCATATAAGCCCCTAGAGGGATTTTCAGTTTCACTTAGGTGCCTAATTCCCCTTGACTACAGAGGATGTTAGGTGCTACTTAGTTGCTTTTGAAAATCTCACTAGGCCTCTCTCTGCATTTTAAGCTCCTAAATACCTGTCAGAATCTGACCCTTAGCAACATGCAAAATTGTAAACCTTAGGCTCCAAAATCACTTAGGCACTTTTGAAAATGTCACCCAATATCTCTAAAATGAGGAGTTTTCAGGTCTGAGTGGCTTAGTATATTCTGCTGATCATCTAGAGTCTTCCAATAGCAGAAAGTTTGGGAGGGGGGGTCTGACTCCATATCAGGAATACATTGGCAGAGAGTAGTGGAGAAGACTGAAGGAAAGTTCTGCTGGTTATCCACACAAAACGCCAGGTACAACATATACTGTGCAAAATGCTTTTTCTCCAGCTCTTACATGTTTCATCTGGCATTCCGTTAATTACATTGTCCCAGAGGAAACCAGTTGTGTTTGGTGGTTATAGATGGAGATTCAGGGTCCGGATTTCAGAGATACAAAACAGCCACAGGGAACCTAAGTCCTATTGACTGTCAATGTGAATTAGGCACCCAATCACCATCCGTGCCTTTGAAAAAAATCTCCCCTCAAATCATTGTTTGTAGCTGGATTTGGACCCACTGATCTTAATCCCACTGGAAATAAGTCCAGAGGGATGATAAACAAAGACAAACATGATCACACCCTGTAAGGGTATGTGGACAAGAGGCAAAGCACTTGAAGTTATCTGGGAGTTATCCAATACATTATAGCTAACCCTGAATTAACTGCAACCTTGCTCCTAGTTAGCACCTTTTAGCTCAGTTTAACTGGACAAGGTGAACCCTACACAGCACTCTAGGTTTCAAATTAAATTAGGTTTAAAATGTTGCATGTCAGGGGTTTACACCAGTATAAAGACATTACATTAAAAAGTGATTTGAGGTACATCTGTACTACATAAATGTAGAGGACGTACACTATATGCCCCTGCTAACATGGGCATAAATAGCAGTGTAGATGGTGAGGCATGGCTTAAGCAAGTAGAGTCGCAATATGCCTGAACCCCATGGGTATAAACACTATGTACATGGCTCTACACCCCCAAGCAGTGCCTCCTCCATCTACACTGCAGTGTCCCGCTGCTTCCCCAGTGCCAGAGACTTTCCCCACTGCTGGAGCCTTTCCCCACCACAGGAAAAGACTCCAGAAGTGGGGATAGGCTCCGGCAGCTCTGCTGCCTCCCCCTGCTGGAGTCTTTTATTCACACATGTAGCTACACATGACAGCATGGACATACGTGCCGACTTCATGGGTGCTCCGGGGCCGGAGCACCCACAGAAAAAAATTGGTGGGTGCTGAGCACCCACCGGAAGCTCCCCGTGGCCCTGCCTCACCCCCCTGCTCCAGCTCACCTCTGCCTCCGCCTCCTCCGCGAGCGTGCCACCGTGTCCTGCTTCTCCTCCCTCCGAGCCCTTGCGCTGCGACACAGCTGATTCGTGGGGCAGGGCGGGAGAGGGGAGGAGGGGGAACGCTGGGTGCTGGGGGAAGAGGCAGGGCCGGAGTGGGGATTTGGGGAAAGGGATCCAATAGGGGCAGGGAGGGGGCGGAGTTAGGGCAGGGACTTTGGGGATGGGGTTGGAATGGGGGCGGGGCGGAGTCGGGGCAGGACCAGGGGCGGGGAAAGGGGCACGGGCACCCACCGGCACCGGAGAAAGTTGGCGCTGCTGAGCGTGGACACAGCCTGCTTTTCACTGTGCTGTGTAGCTACAGATACCCTACAGGTCGCCCCCAGCGGTGTGCCATGTAGATGTAGCCATAGCTAAATCAAAGCAGTGCTGTGTATAGACAAGGGCTGACACTCTCCCCACAGAGAGAAATATCAACCCTGACTGATGTAACTGCTGGACCATCACAATGGGAACCTACCAGATATTCCTGGCTTTGGTTCTCTCCATCCTGTTTCCACTCCAGAAGTTCTTCTCTCTCTTTCTTCAGGGTGTTCAGTCGGGCTTGAATTTGTTCCTGAGGCAAGAAAAACAATGTCTAGGAGGGTCAGGTGGCTGAGGAGTCTGTCCTCACAGATACGTTTATATACATTGCATGTCCCTCTCAGGCTGTCCCACAGACAGTGCTCATGGCAATGTCATAATTGCCTCTTGAGAGGTGGGAGATTCCAGTTCAAATCCCTTCTCCTCATCAGGTAGAGGGAGAACTTGAACCAGGGGTTTCCCGCCTACCAGGTGAGCGCCCTTCCCCCAGGCTAACCGTTATCATAGAATATCAGGGTTGGAAGGGACCTCAGGAGGTCATCTAGTCCAACCCCCTGCTCAAAGCAGGACCTAATCCCAACTAAATCATCCCAGCCAGGGCTTTGTCAAGCCTGACCTTAAAAACCTCTAAGGAAGGAGATTCCACCACCTCCCTAGGTAACCCATTCCAGTGCTTCACCACCCTCCTAGTGAAAAAGTTTTTCCTAATATCCAACCTAAACCTCCCCCACTGCAACTTGAGACCATTACTCCTTGTTCTGTCATCTGGTACCACTTAGAACAGTCTAGATCCATCCTCTTTGGAACCCCCTTTCAGGTAGTTGAAAGCAGCTATCAAATCCCCCCCTCATTCTTCTCTTCTGCAGACTAAACAATCCCAGTTCCCTCAGCCTCTCCTCATAACTCATGTGCTCCAGCCCCCTAATCATTTTTGTTGCCCTCCGCTGGACTCTTTCCAATTTTTCCACATCCTTCTTGTAGTGTGGGGCCCAAAACTGGACACAGTACTCCAGGTGAGGCCTCACCAATGTCGAATAGAGGGGAACGATCACGTCCCTCGATCTGCTGGCAATGCCCCTACTTATACCACCCAAAATGCCGTTAGCCTTCTTGGCAACAAGGGCACACTGTCGACTCATATCCAGCTTCTCGTCCACCGTAACCCCTAGGTCCTTTTCTGCAGAACTGCTGCCTAGCCACTCGGTCCCTAGTCTGTAACAGTGAATGAGATTCTTCTGTCCTAAGTGCAGGACTCTGCACTTCTCCTTGTTGAACCTCATCAGGTTTCTTTTGGCCCAATCCTCTAATTTGTCTAGGTCCCTCTGTATCCTATCCCTACCCTCCAGCGTATCTACCACTCCTCCCAGTTTAGTGTCATCTGCAAACTTGCTGAGAGTGCAGTCCACGCCATCCTCGAGATCATTAATGAAGATATTGAACAAAACCGGCCCCAGGACTGACCCTTGGGGCACTCCGCTTGAAGCCGGCTGCCAACTAGACATGGAGCCGTTGATCACTACCCGTTGAGCCTGACGATCTAGCCAGCTTTCTATCCACCTTATAGTCCATTCATCCAGCCCATACTTCTTTAACTTGCTGGCAAGAATACTGTGGGATACCGTATCAAAAGCTTTGCTAAAATCAAGGAATAACACATCCGCTGCTTTTCCCTCATCCACAGACCCAGATATCTCCTCATAGAAGGCAATTAGGTTAGTCAGGCATGACTTGCCCTTGGTGAAGAAGGTCTGGTGCCTCCTCCCCGGACGTTTGGTGTGGAGTGACAAGTGCAGAACTCCATCATGCAAGAAACAGCTTAGATGTTTAAGCCACCTGACTCCAGGAGAGGGGTTCCCAGGTGTGGATCCCAGAGAGGGGTGCATTCCTACACCAAACTCTGAGGGGTGGGGCTTAGGACACACCCCTCTCAGCAGCATCTCCCATTGTAATCCTGTCAATTACAGGCCAGTAAGCCCTAAGGGCTTGTTGATAAGTACAGCGCTGCAGTTGTACCAATACGTCTGCACCACTGCACCACATGCGATGGGAGAGAGCATAATAAACCCACCTCCACGAGCGGCAGAAGCTTAGGGGTGGCGGGAGAAGCTCTCCTGCTGACATAGCACTGTGCACATGAACGCTTATGTTACTCAGGGAGGTGAAACATTCACAGGCCAGAGCAACGTAAGTTTTGGCGACATAGGCTGTATTGCAGACAAAGGCTAATTTCAGTACCAGGCAAATTGGTTGAAACTATAGTAAAGAAAAAAATGTCAGACACAGATGAACATGATTTGTTGGGGGAAGCATCAACACAGCTCTAGTAAAGGGAAATCATGCCTCACCAATCTATTATCAACAAGGATGATCCACTGGATATAGTGTACTTAGGCTTTCAGAAAGCCTTTGACAAGGTCCCACACTAAAGTCTCTTAAGGAAACTAAACAGTCATGAGATAAGAGATAAGACATGGATCAATAACCAGTTAAAATATAGGAAACAAAGGATAGGAATAAATGGTCAGTTTTCACAATGGAGAAGGGTAAGTACCAGGGTCCCCCAAGGATCTCTACTGGGACCAGTGCTATTTAACATATTCCTAAATGATCAGGAATAGGGGGTAAACAGTGAGCTGGCAAAGTCGGCAGATGATACAAAATTACTTAAGGTAGTTGAGTCAAAGCAGACTGCGAAAAGTTACAAAGGGATCTCACAAAAATGGGTGACCGGGCAACAAAATGGCAGCTGAATTTCACTGTTGATAAATGCAAAGTAATGCACATTGGCAATCATAATCCCAACTATACGTATAAAATGATGTGGTCTAAAGGAGCTCTTACCACTCATGAAAGAGATTTTCGAGTCATCTCTGTAAACATCTGTTCATAAAAGCTAACCGAATGTTAAGAACCATTAGGAAAGTGATAGATAAGAAGACAGACAATATCATAATGCCACTATATAAATCCATGGTACATCTTGAATACGTCATGCAGTTCTTTTGGCCCCATTTCAAACCAGATATATTTGAATAGGAAAACGTACAGCGAAAGGAATAAAAATCATTAGGGGTATGGAACAGCCTCCATATGAGGAGGGTGTTCAGCTTGGAAAAGACAACTGGGGTTGGGGTGGAGATGTGATTACAGTTTATAAAATCATGGATGGTGTAGATAAACTGAATGGGGAAATTTATTTACCCCTTCACAGAACAGGAACCAGGGGAAATGATCAGGTAGAAGGTTTAAAAACAAACAAAAGGAAGTACTTCTTCACACAACACACAATCAATCCATGGAACACATTGCCAGGGATGTTGTGAAGGCCAAAAGTATAACTGGGTTCAAAAAAGAATTAGATGAGTTTATGGAGGATAGGTCCATCAATCGCTATTAGCCAAGATGGTCAGGGATGCAACCCCATGCTCCAGAGATCCCTAAATCTCTGACTGCCAGATGCTGGGACAAGAAGACAATGGATGGATCATTCGATAATTGCACTGTTCTGTTCATTCCCTCTGAAGCACCTGGCACTGGCCACTGTTGGAAGACAGGATTCTGGGCTAGATGGACCTTTGGTCTGACCCAGTGCAGCTGTTCTTATGTCCTTAGTTATTTTCTAGGTGCCTAAAAGTTTCTAGGTGCCTTTGGGGATTTAGGCCTAAATCTCCTTTGAAAATGGGACTTTGGCTCTAAAGTCAGTCGGTGCTTTTGAAAGTGTGCTCCGAGGATCTTCTGTAATTCACCAGGGGTGAGATGTTGCAGAGCCACACAGAGGATCTAAAAGCACAGTTCCCATTCATTTCAATGGCAGCTGGGCATCTCAGGCCCCAGTCTTAGCCCTGCATTCCTTCTATGCTGTATGTGTCACGCTGCCAGGGAACAGAGAGGCCTTGGGGGCACCAGACCTGATGTAGAGGCTTAGGGACTTTGTCCAGACCAGTGGTTCTCAAACTTTTGTACTTGTGACCCCTTTCACATAGAAGCCTTTGAGTGCGACCCCCCCTTATAAATTAAAAACCACTTTTTAATATATTTAACACCATTATAAATGCTGGAGGCAAAGCAGGGTTTGGGGTGGAGGCTGACAGCTTGTGACCACCCATGTAATAACCTCATGACCCCCTGAGGGTCCCAATCCCCAGTTTGAGAACCCCTGGTCTAGACAGCCCTTTGCCTCCAGCAAATCCTCCAAGTGCTGCAGGGCAATAGGTTAAAGTCGTATCCATTTTCCAGCAGTATAGGATAGAGTGTCCTGCTCCCATGCAATGATAGGGAACAGTATATGAAGAGATCTGGATGTCAGAGAGTTAAAGCCAAGCAACTTACAGGGAAGTGAGTTTTGGTAAGAGTTGTTTAAAACACTTTAAGAAGTTTATGTTAAACTCTGGAGCCTAATGAACACCTGGGAGAAAGGGACTCCTGGTTAAAAATCCAACACACTCACAAGGTTCATAAATATTGTGTTCGATTGTTTGGCATGGGGGAAAAGGAGCACTTCCAAGCAAAGTGACCAGCGTTCAGCAAGCCAGGGAAAACAGGAATTCATCATCCTGGTTTTCCCTTGAGAAAAAAAGTAAGCTGATTAACTTTTGTTTTTTAAGCAGAAATCTTTCAGTGCATCTTATGCTTCAGAAAGTAGCAGGAAACGAACCCATTGAGAACGCTGCTGACAATGTTACGTTACTGCTGCTTCCAGGAAGCAGCCAGCGGTCATCAGATATGAAATGCTCAAGCTGGGCACTACGCCAGGCACCGGCTCTGTCAAAACTCAGTTGTGCGGAGAGGTTTATAATGTGATTGTAAAGCAGTGCATGACCGGAGTGATGAGAGGCTGTGTGGTCTAGTGGCTAGAGAACTAGGATGGGCATTGGGGGGGCAGGGTTTAATTCCTGGTTCTGCTACTGATCTGTTTTGTGAGCTTCGTCAAGTCACTGCCCCTTCCCTGCTTCTCTGTCCTTTATCTTTGTCTCTGAGGGTGCCCACCAGATCAGGCCCTGCAGGTGAGAGAGGCAGGACAACACCTGTCTTCACCCAGCTCATGGGTGTGGCCAGGAGACAGGCAGCCAGAAGCCTCTAGAGGGAGGCAGCTGTGAACATGCCCAGAGGTAGAAACACAGGCACTGAGAGAACTTGTACCTTGCATACACAGGCACTGAGTGAGTCTGGGCTCCTGCAGGGCTTGGCAGTAGCTCTGGGGATTGCAGTGGAGCCTAAAACTGGCATTTAGGTGCCTAAACCCCAGCTGTATGCACCTCACTCTGGGGTTTAGGCAGCTAAGTACCTTTGTGAATCCCCAGCCTTTGCCCTCCTGTACCTCGGCTCCCTCTCCTGCACTTTGTCCACCTTGACTGGTTAGACCAGTGGTCCCCAAACTGTGGAGCATTGTAGAACTGATGAATGAAATTGTTTTTAATTGTTCACTTTATTAATGTAACTTCATAAGTAAAGTTTTATGAATGAAACAACATTCATTCATAAACCGGTTACCCCAATAACTGGCTAATTGACAATTAAGATGCTTGTTAAGATCCATAGCTGTTCAGCCAGTTGCTCTTGTAAATTTCACTGTCAATCCAATTCCTGCTTAAATCACTGAGACTTGCACAGTGTCAGTATTGTAACTTCTCTTCACCATCCACTACACTTGTCTATATTGTAACTTCTGTTCACTGTTTGCCATATTCTAATTCAAACCCCATTTTAAAACGCTTACTCCATTTTGTAAGGGCTTGCTGCCACCTTCATTTTTGCAAACCCAGCTGTAATCTTATTAGTTTAGTTTAGATGTGTGAATGAGGTATGTATGGATGATGGAATCAACCTCCAGCCCCAGCCTGTCCTGATGAGATAGAGTTCAAACACCAAGGACTGAAGATGCAGACAAGAGCCCTAACAAAGTAAGAAGAGTCCACCCCAAAAAGAGAAGAACAAAAGGTACAATAAAAGGAAGATCAAAGCCAGGTCCGAGGCTGAAAGTCACATCTGCAATTGACGGGTGATCAATCACCAAACCCAGAGGCAGCGTGACACAGCAAGACCTATAGACTCTGGATTCAAACTAAAGCCTACACAAAGGATGGGTGAGATGAAGACTTTGGAGGGTAACATTCTGCTGCCAACATGGAAGGGCATCGGCGCATGCCCAACAGAGACCCTGCCCTTCCTTGTGCCCGGCTTTCCTGGCCAGTTAGCCGCCCCAAGCTACGAACCCAAGCTGCAAACTCAAGCCACAGACTCAAGCTATGTTCAGGACTGGTAACTATGCAGCAGCTGCAGAACATCTGATGGATGTCTCTGTGTGTGTGTGTGTGTGTGTGTGTGTATAGGTATTAGGTATAATGTGTGTGTATAAGGATTAAGATTTTAGTTATTGGTCATAAATCAAATTGTTATCATAATAAATGTGGCATCTTTGTCTTGCCCCCTGAAAAGATCCTGTGTAGTTTTATCTGTATAACAGCATGCCTCCCTGGGGGAGTGTGGAGGAGGAATATTTGGGAGGCCATGGTGGGGCCCAGGCCAGCCCCCACAGGGGCAGGGGAGTGCCAGCCACACATAGGGGCAGGAAGTGGGGGTGCATGGGGTGCTGCAGCACCCCCAGCTTTTGCTTTGGGCATCCGGGCTGCTGGCCCGCTCGGCCAAGGGGAGGCCGCTCCGCCGGGGGCTCGGGGCCCGTTCGGCCGCGGGGAGGGGGGGCCTCTCCGCCGCCTTACCCTGTCCATGTCCCATCCCCTCCCACCCCCACTTCCGGAGCCACAGCCCTGCTCCAGGCCCCAGCTCTAGGGGGTGGTGAGGGGGCATGGACAGAGGTAAGAGGGGTGTAGCTCAGCACCCCCACACCGAAAACTGTTCCAGCGCCACTCAGTGCCGGGTTTACAATGGCTCCAGTGGCTCCATGGAGCCGGGCCCATGCTCAGAAGGGGCCCCGGCCTGCTCCGCTTGCACTGAGCCCCGAGACCCCGCTGGCTCCCCCCACCCACCACTTGCTCCTCTTGGCCTGCCCACCTGCTGCCTCCTCATCCCCACCCCCCTGCTCCTCTCTGCCCCCTGGCTGGACCCCAGTGCACCTCCGGCTCCGGGCAGTCTCTGCTTCCCACCACCTGTGGGACCCCACCTGTCTCCCCGGAGCTGAGCCGCCTGGGACTGGTGCAGAAGCCTGGCCAGTCTCAGCCACGGTGGGGGGGGGGGGAAGGGGACAGTGCAGGGAGCTTGGCTGGGCCCCTCCAGGGGAAGTGCATCTTGAGGGAGCCGACCCTGGCCTGGCTGATCACACCACTCCCGAGGGACCGGAGTGATTCCCCGCTGAGGGACTAGCTCTGGCTGCACTGCCAGCTCAGCCTGGCAGACTCAGTTGCCTCCCAGCAGGGCCAGTGAGTGCGGTCGGGAGGCAGGGCATGGGGGAGGTAGGGGGGTGCTGGGCTGTGAGGGGGCAGGGAAGATGTGTATGTTGGGGCACTAGGGAGTGGGAGTTCTGTGGGGGGTGCTGGGCAGTTGTGATGGGGCTGTGGGCAGGGGGGTGCTGGGCAGGGATGGTGTTGTGCAGGGCGCTATGCATTTGTGTGGAGGGGGTTGGGGGGGATGCTGGGCATAGGGAGTCAGGATGACGTTGGGTGGGGGGGGCTGTGTGGCACAACATGGGCCCATCTCCCGAGGGGAAGGGACATGCTGGCAGCACAGGGCTGGGCGGGCCACTGTGTATCTGGCAACTGCCGGTTTGTAAATAGTGCCCTTGCCCTGGGCTGGGCAGAGCGGGGCTGCCCCTGTCTTGCCTCTCACTCTGGGGACTGACCTCCACACACCATGCTCCATTGCCTCCATGGGAGCCCACAAATAAGATTGGTGCCGGGCCCACAAAAGGTTAATCTGGCCTTGGCGCCACTGCATCCACATCTGCTATGGCCTGGGCTCCCCCGCCCCTGCCCCCAGCCCCGCTCCCTGCCCAGCCGTGGCCTACCTTGTGCTCCCGGGCAGCCTCCTCTATCGGGACCACCATGTGAGCCCGGTGCGCCTGGGACTCCCTGCAGATCACACAGATGAGCATTTGGTCCTGGTTACAGAAGAGTTTGAAAGGCTCCTGGTGCGCGTTGCACAAATCTCCTCCTGCTGCTGCTGGGACACTCAGCTGCTTGGCGATTTCTACCACATTCCCCAGTTGTCTGTTCGGCCTCAGGGTCCTCTGGGGAAAGGTCTCTCTGCACTGAGGGCAGGAGATGTCTGTATCTGGTCTCTCCCAGCACTGGGTGATGCAGGCTCGGCAGAAATTGTGCCCACAGTCTATAATCACTGGATCCATGAAAAAACTCAGACAGATGGAGCAAGTAGCTTCATCTCGGAGGCTCTTCAAAGAATTCCCTGCTGCAGCCATGGCTCCCTGCAGACAGTGTAACAGGAGAAGTTTCGTTTCCTGCCGGACCCAGCAAGCAGCCTTGTAAAGCAGATTGCCCAACCTGGAGCCAATCAGGCTCTCCGGCGGGAAATTAAAAACAAGCAAACAAACCCCCCATCAACACAGACACAACACACCAGAAGCCACCCCCACCCCCCAGAAAAGTCCCCAAACAAGCAACATGCTACTTAAAGAAATGAAGCAATTACATACACAAAGAAGCCAATAGAGCAGGGGTGGGCAAACTTTTTGGCCCAAGGGCCACATCGGGGTGTGAAACTATATGGAGGTCTGGGTAGGGAAGGCTGTGCCCCCCAAACAGCCTGGCCCCTGACAGGCCCCCCGGGACTCCCATGCCTATCCAACCCCCCCTGTTCCCCGACCTCTGACTGCTCCCCTACCGAACCTCTGCCCCATCCAACCCGCCCCCTGCTCCCTGTCCCCTGACTGCCCCCGGGAACTCCCAAGCTGCCACCACATGTGCACACCACTGCTGCCCAGACAGAGCCAGTTGCTCCGCCAGCAAGGCGGCTTTGCTACGGGGGAGGGGGGACAGCAGGGGAGGGGCTGGGGGTGAGCCTCCCTAGCCGGGAGCTCAGGGACTGGGCAGGATGATCCCACGGGCCAGATGTGGCCGGGGGGGCGTAGTTTGCTCACCTCTGCAATAGAGGCTTGCTGGGAGCAGGCTTGGCAGCTTTCTTTCTACACCACAGAATAAATCCAGGCTCAGAGTCAGGTTTAAGGCCAAGACCCTTTCTGTACCTCCTTTGTAAAGCACTTTGAGATCTAGTCAGGGAAAACACTATATAAGAGTCTTACTAATCCCTAATAGTTAGAGATCATTTTAAGCCTTGACCAATTTATTCCGTCTAAAAAATGTATTTGCATTAACTTAACTATTCTAACTCTAAGGTGCCACAAGTACTCCTGTTCTTTATTCTAACTCTGGGGTTTCTAGTTATTCATATCATCAATATCCAATCCCTTATTTGAATCTTCCTAAATTACTGGCCTCAAAAACTCCATGTGGCAATGAGTTCCACAGTTTAATTACACGTTTTGTGTAAAAGTATTTCTTATTGGTTTTGAATTTGATCCCTTTCCATTTCATTGACTGTCCTCTTGTTCTTGTGTTATGAGACAGGCAGAAAAGACATTCCCAGCCTTCTCTGTCCCATTCATTATTTTATACCCTTTTATCCTATCCCCTCTTAGTCATCTTTTTTCCTAAGGTAAACAGTCCCATTCTTTTCAATCTTTCTTACCAAAAGAGGTTTTCCAGGCTCCTCGTCATTCTCATTTCCCTTCTCTGAACCATCTCTAATACTGCAATATCCTTTTTCAAATGGTGTGACCAGTACTGCACACACGACTCTAGGTTGGTGGTTTTCAAACTTTTTTTCTGGCAACCCAGTTGAAGAAAATTGTTGATGCCCACGACCCAACGGAGCTGGGGATGAGGGTTTTGAGGTGTGGGAGGGGCTCAGGGCTGGGGCAGTGGGTTGGGGTGCGGGGTGAGGGCTGTGGGGTAGGGCCGGGAATGAGGGGTTCAGGGTGTGGGAGGGGGCTGTGGGCTGGGGCAGCGGGTTGGGGTGCAGGGGGAGTCAGGGCTCTGGGTTGGGGGTTCAGGCTCTGGGGTGGGGCCAGGGATGAAGGGTTTAGGGTGCAGGAGGGGGCTCTGGGTTGGGGGGGGCTTAGGGCTGGGGCGGGGGATTGGGGTGCGGGGTTGGGGCGTGCCTCAGGCTTACCTCTGGCGGCTTCCAGTCAGCAGCGCAGCCGGGGTGCAGAGGCAGGCTTCCCACCTGTCCTGGCACTGCGGACCACGCTGTGCCCCAGAAGGCTCCAAGGCAGAGGCGCACAAGCGGCGCTGCGAGGTTCTTGCCTGCAGGCACGCCCCCCCCCCCCGAGCCGGTACTCGGGGCAGGGCAGTGCACTGAGCTCCGTGCCCCCCTTACCCAGTGTAGGAGCCAGACCTGCTGCTGGTCGCTTCTGGGGCACGGTACGGTGTCGGAACAGGTAGGGACTAGCCTACCTTAGCCAGGCAGCACTGCTGACAGGACTTTTAACGGTCCGGCTGGCGGTGCTGACCAGAGTGGCTGCGACCCAGTCCTTTCCATTCCACGACTCTGTTCTGGGTCATGACCCACAGTTTGAAAACCACTGCTCTAGGTGAAGGGAACCATCAGTTAATGCCTCACAGCACAGGCCTGGGGGAAAGTGACCTGGATGCATGGAGCACTTGGTATTGCTCCTCCAACTTTTTGCTGGCTTTGCATTTTTAAGAAATGGTTTCAGAATTGGCGATTGGCGTTTGCAGGCTGGGTCCAATATCGTCTAGGGGCTGACCCATGACCTGTAATGTCTCAGATACCTGCGGATCCAAGGGTATTGCAACCTGAAATTACTGGAGTGAGGAGCTCCTTCATTTGTATAAATATGTCCTAATCAGACCCGATTGGGTGATGCCAGTGACCTTAGAAGGAGAGTGCCCCGTTCTGATTGGCCATAGGAGCCCTGAGGTTCCAAGTGGGAGGGGCCAGCTGGGTCATCATCTGCAAAAACCAAAGGAAAGGAAGAAACCTTTGTTCTGGCTTTTTGGCCTTCACTTGTTAGGCCGGTTTGCACTGGCTGCTGGCCTCTGGCCGTGCCACACAAAGTGCCCTGAGCTTCGTTCGCCGCCCCCCCGCTCCCCCTCACCCCACCCCAGCTGGCCACTGAGAGGTAGGAGTCAGCAACATGGGGCATCCAAGATCTGACACCAAGTGAGTCACCGCTAGCGAGCCTGCAAGTCCATCGACCTTAATACAAGTGAGCTGGGTGCTGACTCTGTGGGTGCTCCCTCTGGGGCTGGATCAGCTCATCCCCCTCCCTCCCAGCACCTGCCGCGATCAGCTGTTCCACAGTGCGCAGGAGGCGCTGGGAGGGAGAGGGCAGAGTGAGGGTGGCGTGTACTCAGAGGAGGAGGCGGAATGGGGCAAGGGTGTGGCGGAGGTGGGAAGGGGCGAGCACCCCGCTGGAAATGACAAAGTTGGTGCCTGTGCATGTGAGCTCACGAGCGTAGCGCCTATCAAGTAGTTGCTCAGGTCCCTACGTCAAACAACCTCGTTATCACACGTGCAGGGATTTTGGGGGTTAGGATCTGTACGTTGAACCTTGAGAAATCCTGTTGTTTTCACCTACGTTTGCACTGAACAGTCATACGACAACCAGCCTTATTGGAACTTACTGTGTGGCGTGGGAGATTACCTAATCAGCCATCATTTGGGCAGGCTGTCTTCTTCATGGAACGGGTGGCTCTAATGGCAATTTTCACTTCAATCAGGGCGCGATCTGACCCGACCTCTATCAGCTCTTTGGCTGGAACCAAAATATATCACTTAGTATTTAAGGTTAAGGATGCCCTATTATGGTGGTACTGCTGGCTACACAGATCCGCCGCCTTCCTGGAGTGTTATGTAGCACTTAGAAGGCACTGTTAATTTATTTGGGGTGCTTTAAATCACCAGTTACTGTACTCAGCCAGGTGATTAACGTTCTTTCATTTTTCCGTGTTTCGGTTATTGAGCTGGTTAAATATGTACCATGGAAACGTGAACAGTTCGGCTGTTTGTTCCCCAGACGTCAGGGGCCCAGAGGAGACTCCAAGTCCCACCGAAGGCTGGTCTGTAGAACTGTCCCAGAGTCCTCCAGGGACAGGCACCAGACCTGGAACCTGCTGGCTTTCGAGGGAAAGATGACCTATGTGTTGATCATTTATTTCCATCAGTGTTGTGGGGCCTGGGGTGGTGGATACCAACCGGGCCAAGCCAAAGCCGACCAGTCCCCCCTTAATAAATCTGTATGTCTCACACCTCCGACCCCCTCAATTAGTCACTGGCTTGTGCCCTGACGCTAGGAGATTTAAATCTGTTCTATCTTTGAATCCCCGTGTACAACTACTTGTTCCAAGTATCCCTGTAGAGTGAAGAGGCGCGTCCGGTGGGTAGGGTGCTAGCCTGGGAGACCTGGCTCTTCCACACACTTCCTGGGTAATCCTAGGTTCCTCTGGTTATTTGTAGGGCTGAATTAACTCACCAGTGCGTCCTAGGCAACCCCCCTCAAATCCACCATCCCCCTTGTCACGAGGGCTACCTGCCGCCCCACTCCTGGCCAGTGTAACATTACAAATTGCTGCTTGCACAATTTGCTACCTGTCCCCTTATCCCTATCCTCCACCTTTCCCCATCTCCTGGACCAGGTGTAGCAAGTTGTGATGATAGGGGTTCACCTAGCCCAGTTGTTGTCTGACCTCTCTACCTTTCCTCATGCTCTGGTCTAGGGGCAGTGCATTATGACAGACAGGGGGCATTCCTGTCGCCATTTGCTATGAGTGTGACATTTCTATTTTAAATTTGGACACAAATAAAGAAAGTACCTTTGTGATTGGGAAAAGTGCTCTACAGCGTTAAATCTCAGGGCTAATGTATGTAAACCCCAGAATGAAGGCAGCGTTATTTCTTTCTTAGTCTCGTTCCATTGTAGATTAGGCCACAGAGTTTAATCTGATCAGGTCTTAAATTCCTATAGATTATTTCCTGGAACCTCCAACATGCTATAAAAACTCCAGGGGGATTGAAAATATTGTCTAGAGCTCCACTCCTGACAGCTCCAGCTGAATTTAAGCCCTGAATCCAACAATGGATCCCTGCTCGCCTGTCTCCCATTCTCATCCTCCTCACCCCATGACTCCGACTCCTCTGATGTCTCCATGGGGATCCCTGGGGGAGGGAGGAGGGGTGTTTGCTGCAGAGGATAGCATGCAGCTCCTCGTAAAAGCGGCATGTCTGCGGCGCCGCGTCACAGTGACTGCTTGCCTCCCTCGCCTTCTGATACATCTGTCGCAACTCCTTGGCATTCATGAACAATGTGAGCATCAAAGCCTTGGGGTTGGGGTCAAGTAACAATGCTTCTCTCTGGCTGGTCTGTTTCAGATTAATAACCCACATCCTGTCCATGGGGGCAATGGCAGAAAGTCCATTGGGCGGCTGCTCTGGGGCCTGCGTGGAATGTGCTGAGATCTCAGCCTGGTTCCCGGGGTGTAGGCGTCTCCATCACACACCGAGGTAACCCACTAAGTCTGCACTGGTCATCCCCCTCCATGTGAGGCTCAGCAGAGAGGCCAGGAGCTCAATGGACAGTGCAGATGGAGCTTCTCTCTCCCCTTTAGAGAGATTCATCCCAGGTCAGGGCAGAGGACCAGTGGCCCAGGACAGCATGTGAGGGGAGCTGGCACTGGGGTCCCCTGCCCTGTTCAGGGTAAAGGGTTACACAGAGTCTCCAAGGCCCCTTGTCTATCCTGGCTGCAGGAGGGTGATCTGGGCAGACTGAGGGAGAAGCGGCTGCCTGGGACCAGAACAGGGAATGTAACTGTGGTGGGAAAAGCACAGAGACTGGAGCTCTGCTGGGGATGTGGCTGGTTACGAAGCTGGCTCTGCAGCAGGATATGATGTTCCAATGCGACGTCATATGTCATTTCCCTTCCTTGCCACCGGGAATCAAGGTCACACGATCAGCCAAAATTCGTCTCGCCAAGCACAACTCTGCAGCATCCTCCTTTCTGATGCACCTCATAGCGTCCGCCCCCACGGGGGGCAATTGTGGAACCCCTGCCAGAGCCCCGTACCAGACAAACTTATTTATTGAACTCCAAGCAAGCCAAAGGTAGGTTGGCTCTACCCTAGAGGAGCCCAGATAGTTTAGATGGGGAAAACGAGGCACAGTATGTGGCATGCACTGAGCCTGCCCATTCTCATCAGACGCCCCAATCTCACCTGATTCTCCTTTTGTCAGCGGTGTGTGTGCACCATGCACGGAGCGTGCCAGCTCCCACCCCAGCCCCCACACTGCTGTGTACTAGACATGTTTGCATCTCCCCTGCCCATCAGTGCTACCTCTGTGTCATGCCCCAGCTGTGTGCACGCTCAGCTCTCCCAGCCCGCTCGCAGTGCTGTATGCCTGTGGCATACACGGAGCTGACCTCTTCTCAGCTACCTCCCCTGCCCCCAGTCTCAGGGCTGTGCTTGTTCCATGCACTGAACCTGCCTGGTCTCAGCTGTCAAGCCAGTCTCAGGGCTGGGTGTCTAGGCCATGCTCCAACCTTGAATTGACTCACCCTTATATCAGTGTTGTGTGGCTCAGCCATGCACCAAGCCTAACATTCTAGCAGGTGTGGCTAATTGATCGAGTAGGTTCATTTCAAAAGGCGGAGGGGTTCAGTGATTGAGAAATACACAGACATATTAACAGGGGTCAGTCGCAGCAGAACAGGTTAATTTGTGTTTTTCTGCCTCCCAGCCCAGGGCAGTCTCCAGGGAGCATTGGGTGAGTCTCCCTCAACTGGCCATGGACAGGATTCTGCTGGTATTCCATGCCTAGCTCACAGCGTTTTAAAAACAGCTCGTGTTGGGAGGGGCTGTATCTCAAACCCTGTGACCAAATGACTCCAGCTTTGTACCCCTGACCCTACCCTGTGCCCTTGGGTGGCGTATCAGGTTTCTAGCCAATCAGACTGTGAATGTGAATTTAAAGGAAAAGGGATCATTTGGTTTGGGAAAGAAATGCTGCCGCAACACAATGGTGCAGCGAGGTGCCAGCCCATAGTACTGCAGGTGATGATGAGAGCTGGCTGCCTTATTGCAAATTTCTCTCTCTTCCCTGACAGCTGGAGGTTGCCAACAGATTTCTTTCAGGAGGAGGATAGTGTTACTAGGGAAAGCATCACTTGATGCTTTGATTTTATTTACTCATTCCTCGAGCTTCGCCTTTAGAGCTTTTGCTTAGAGTTACCCAGCGGCTTTTCTTCAAGCCCCCTCAAGGCATTTGCTCGTGGGTCTGTCTAACGTTTCAGGGCAGAGCCGTACAGATCTAATACCCTTGGGACAAAGTCAAAGGCCAGAAGATAGAAATAAACTTTATTCTGTGAATTTACTCAGCTGAATCGACAGTATCCAAATAACCAAACAGAGCAAAATAGGAGCATTGAGCTAGGGAATTGAGGGGTGGGTGTGTGGAACATCACTGTGCTTCTTACATTCATAAGTAAAGAGCAGAGGACTTTGATGGATGACCCTAATTGAGTCAGAACTTAGGCCAGGTCCACACTGTAAACTTACTTTGGTGTAACATATCACTCAGAGGTGTGAAAAATCCACACCCCTCAGTAAACGCAGTCGTACCGACTGAACTCCTGGTGTAGACAGCTACCGCCTCTTAAAGAGGTGGATTAACTACACTGATGGGAGAAGCTCTCCCGTCAGCATAGCAGTGTCTTCACTTAAGTGCTACAGCAGTGCAGCTGCCCTAGGACAGCCAAGCTCTGCGGAGACCCTGGGAGTGGCTCCTGAGTGTCTGCTGGTTGGCCAGTTCGTGTGTGTCTGGAGGATCACAGAGCTACAGCGACAGGCATGTAAGAGGGTTAAGAAACTCCATTCACCAGCATAATGCTGAGCAAGTCAGTCTTGTTCTCCCTCATCATTCTATTGCGAGTCTCGCAGCACTTGGTGTTTTTCTTTAAATCCCAGCTGTTGGAAGGGCTAGATTGCAAGGGAAGCTCAGGTTATATTACAGATAGTTTCTAGCCTTCACATTTGCATAGAAAAGCTTGAAAACGGGAAGCAAAGTACATCTAGAAAGCAGAAGGCAGACAAAAATAGCTCAAGATTTTTTAAGTCAATCTCCTGATTTTGGGGGCCTGACCCACAGTTTTTGAATGCTTGGGGCTGGCAAGTCTGTGATTAGAATGGCAATGTATGACAGCTGTAATTTATATATTTCCCATCTCTTTGCTCTACCTTAGCTATCTCATATTGAGTGATTCCTCTGCCGCAGGTCTTAATGGTATGCATTCCAGGGATCACTACTGCCTAGATTCGGATATTCGACACGCCGGCTCCCAAAGAAGGGGATGATCTTCCCAGTGAAAGAGGATGTGAAAGTAAAGATTGTCTCTCTGCCAGAAGATGTAATGTCATAAAATGTAACTTTCTCCCCTTCATAATCCAGATAAACCCCAATGTTACTGGGGCTACGAGGTAGGTCCAGAGCAGTCTTAGGGGAGGTGAGGGCCAAGTACTCATTCCCTGTACTCTGCAAAGCCCAGATCCCCTTTTCTGGAGTACGGCTTCTCGTTCCCTTTTGTATCACAGACTCTTTGGCAATGCCCAAAACCCAAAGATGTTTGTTCCCCACCTCCACTTCCCAATAACATCTCCCTGAGGTGAAGCCCTTATAGCCCAGCACACAGGCAGCAGGGTGAAACCTGTGCTCCAAAATTTCCGTATGTTTGTAGATCACGCTCTCTTCTCTGGACAGAAGGGAACAAGGATTTGCCAGGTCTGGATCCGGAGTGGCCTGCACTGCAAGAGGAGAAAGAGAGACAGGACGAGAGTGTTAAGGTCTGTCCACACTGCAGCGCTAGCCCAGGCTCTTACACGTCTGCTAACCCTGATGCCCTTCCTGTCCAGATACAACACCACCTCGCCTGAGTTCAGGGGTGCTTTCCAGCCAGCCTACGCCCTGACTCTGTGGGTGCTCCGGGGCTGGAGAATGGAGTGGGCTGCATTGCTGGAGTCACACCAGGCTCTCTGGCACAATGGGAATTAGACTTCTCGGTGGCACTAAACGTCTGCACCAGTTGGATGTGTAAAGTCCATCCAATGCAGGACAGTGATTTGGAGAAGGGAACATGGTCTAGAGGTTAGAAGCCAGGACTCCTGGGCTCTATTCCCCGCTCTGCTACTGACATGCTGTGTCACCTCGGGCACATCCCTTATTCTTTCCATGCTCCAGCTTCCCTTTTTGTCAAATGGGCATAAAAGATGCCGGGCATTCAGATGCTATTGCTGGGCGACAGTACAAGGACATAGATAAATAGCTATGGGAGCAGACGAGAATCCCTTCCCCAGCCTCCAGCAGTGCTCATGGGAAAAGGAGGGGGAAACATGACACAGTTGCAAGCATGGTGCTTGAATGAAACTCTTGTACCCCAGGGAGCATGTCTGACCCCCAAGGAGAGACAATGCTTCTTGAACTGATGGACCTATCCTCCATGAATTTATCCATCAATGGCTATTAGTATCCTGTCTTCCGACAGTGGCCAATGCCAGGTGCCCCAGAGGAAATGAACAGAACAGGTGGTCATCCATTGATCCAGCCCCTGTCCCCCATTCCCAGCTTCTGGCAAACAGAGGCTAGGGACACCATCCCTGCCCATACTGGCTAATAGGAATGGATCACTTGATTATCTGTTCATTCCCTCTGGGGCCAGGGCCAGCTCCAGGCACCAGCTTGTCAAGCAGGTGCTTGGGGCGGCAGCTCCGGAGAGGGGCGGCACGTCCAGGTATTCGGCGGCAATTCGGCGGACGGTCCCTGGAGCCGGCCCTGTCTGGGGCGCCTGGCATTGACCACTGTCGGAAGACAGGATACTGGGCTAGATGGACCTTTGGTCTGACCCTGTATGGCCACTCTTATGTTGTTATGATATATGATCCCTTCTAGCCTTGGAGTCCATGACTCTGTATTGGTGAACACCTCTCTCGTTTCAATTCAGAAGCTTCTTCTAAAAAATTAATCCTGAGATTTTAATTAATAATTGTCGTAGGAAAATATCCTCATGGAAACTTACTCTCTTTCTCTGCCTTCGAGATCAGAAAGCTCAGCTGATAGGGCAGGGTCTCTAGAGAAAGAAAAGATCAGAGGAGAGGTGATTTCCCCCTTTCTGATAGGAAAATAGCCTCAGGAAAACTTAGGGCTGGATGGAGTCGCAAAGAAACTTAGGCGAGAGGACACTCTGCATCTCAACCCCCGATCTTTAGGCACCTGGACAGTCACTGTGATTCACAAAGCCTGAATCAGGCTCCCTGTACCGTGAACGGGGAGAGAGATGCGCCTCGGAATGGGATTCACAAAAGCCAGCATGCTAGGTGACTCCCTGCTTACGCCAGCCAGTGGGAAGTACCACAGTGAGGGGTTGTGCTAGGCCCCGGCCCTCTCAGGGTGTTCGGCGACTGAGGCTGGGTAGCACCGTAGGTGCCTCCCTTTGCATGGGTGCCCTCATGCTCTCCTGTGGGAGATGTTCCACTGGGGATAATCAATATTCATTGGGCCAGAGCGAGAGAGAGAGAGAGAACTCATGAGAATGTCTCTGTAGCCAAGTGGCTAGAGCATCCATCTGGGAGGTGGGAGACCCAGAATCCTGTCCCCCTGCTCAATTATCTATACGCAGTGGATTAGATTCAATAGGGGAGACAGAGAAAGACCCACATCAGACTCCTGTTGGAATCCCTTCTTCTCCCTCTGGGGGGACAGGGGATTTCAACTGGGGGGATCTCCCACATCCCAGGTGAGTTCCACCAGCTGCAGCTGTGACAATTTGAGAACTAATAGGCCAGAGTCCATCTCCTTCTACAGTCAGAGGCATATCTCACTGTACCAACACCGTAGCATGAACCAACTGTTAAATTACCTTTGAATTTCTTCAGAGCCTCTTGTAGACAAACAATTCTTTGGGAAGAGACACAGAGTCTCTCTCTCAGATCCTGTGGCACGTTCACTGGTTTCTCAAACTTCACCTTCTCACACCTAGAGGGAAAGTCAAAAACATTCTCTAAATCTTTTCTGTCTTTTGGGAGAATGAGCTACCAGAGGCCTGGTCCACACTAACCCCCCACTTCGAACTAAGATACGCAACTTCAGCTACGTGACTAACGTAGCTGAAGTCAAAGTACCTTAGTTCGAACTTACGGTGGGTCCAGACGCGGCAGGCAGGCTCCCCCGTCGACTCCGCGTACTCCTCTCGCGGAGCAGGAGTACCGGTGTCGACGGCGAGCACTTCCGGGATCGATCTGGGATCGATTTATTGCGTCTAGAGAAGACGTGATAAATCGAACCCAGAAGATTGATTGCTTACCGCCGGACCCGGAGGTAAGTATAGACGTACCCAGAGGCTGCTCTCTCGTGGGCTCGTTGTGAGCCTCTAACTCCCACTGGTGAGTCAAACTGCCCTCCTCACAGGAGTATTTAAATGCCTAGATCCTCAAATGGGAGTTAACGAGAGTAAGGGGTCCACAAGCTGCCCCCTCAGACAGAGGGGCCTAATCCCGTCGGAAAGGATGCTCCAGTGGTTAAGGGGTTGCTGCAGGACTCTGGAAACCTGTGTTCCACTCCCTGCTTTGCCACAACCTCCCTGCGTGTACTTGGGCAAGTCACTTAAGGCCCAATTTTTAAAGGTGCCTCCCTGAGATTTTGCAAAGCACCAACCAAGCTAAGCTCCCAATTGCCACTTACCGCAATGGGAGGTGCCTAACGCACTTAGCTGCTTTGGAAAACCCCACCAAGTGCCTAGCTACGTCTTAGGTGTCTAAATGCCCTGCAAAAATCTGACCCCAGGGGGACAATCCCCTTCCAGCATCATGACGCGTGAGGGGGAGTGGGAAGGAGTCACGTACCTGCTCCAGGTGCTTTTGATATCCTAGAAAAGAGAGAGAGAGATCAGTCCCATGTGCCACAAGCTGGCGATTGCTCCTGTTCTGGAGAGGACTCACTTTGCCATCCCTAGTCGAGCTCTAGATGCAGTTCTCTGTAGTTAGCAACTTCAAAAGTCCATTCACAGACTTCGATGGAAAGGGGCCCCTAAGCACTCACCATGGTTGTGGGGTTTCTCCTTCTAAATTCTGTTTTGCTTGTGCCAATGGCACTAGCCCAAACAGACTCATCAGACACACAAATCCTTGACTTCCACATGCAACTGCTATGTCCAGAGCGTTTGCCTTTCTCCATGTATGCATTCTGGTCAGCAATTCTGGAAGCTGGATTCATTCCCGTTTCTTAATAGGCTCTGCAAAGAACTTTGCTTTCCTAATCTCCCACTTCCTAGAAACTGGACTTGTGCCTTTTATTGCGTCCAGATCATTAGGGCCCTTTGTTTTCTGTTTTTATTTTATTTAATTTTTCCCAGGAATTTAGCAGGGTTTATTCCCACAATAACAAAAACAGGTGAAAATCAGTGCAAAAAACGATTAATTTTTCTGGGTAAATATCTGGAGTTTATTTTGGTGGATGGAAAGACGTGGGCGGGGGGGGAAGTCTTCAGTAGATTAACGCTTTGAATTCCGTTCAGCAATGTTTGCTGCAGAACTAAAACAGAACTCAAAACACAATGGCACCTCTGAGTTTAAGAAAACAATCTGTCTCCAAATAAAACTTTTCATTTGAATAAACAGTTGACTGTTGTAGACTTAGAACTATTGGTCTATAAATATTTACATTTAATAATTGGGCCGCACCATTTGCGGCGCATACACTCAACTTCATCCTTTTCTCCTGGTTTTTGTTTCTTTAAACCTTTCGAATACTGCCTTGTGTTCTGAAACGTATTCTGATACAGATTTTCCATTTTCTTCCCACCTTAGTGTGTCAAATGTTTAACCCATTGTCCTCCAACAGTACGTGGTGGGCGTGAGATTCATCAGTACATTCAGATGCACACGCACTTCAGCACTTCCGTGTGTGCCTGTTTGTATATTGTGTGCATCTTCTAGACTACTATGTAGCCTTACTTCAAACAGGCAGCTTTGCATATACACACAAATTAAATGTATTATCATAATCCATCTATCTCATGCAACGTATTGTATTTTCCTAATAAAACAAGTTATTTTTTATATATTTGAATGATACAAAAGTAAGTTGAAAATCAGAAAAAAAACCCCGAATAATACTTTATGTAAAACCCAGGAATTTTTTGGTAAAAATCAGTTTAAACTGAAAATGAAGGGGCTTACATAGGATGTATCAAAAAGGCCTGAGATATCCGCCTTTAAAACAGCAAAACTCTTTCCACATTGGAAATATTAGAAATGTCAAATTTTGCTTTTCCTCGCTTTGCTAAAGGACACGCTGACAGTCTCCATTGTGGAGTGGGAGCTCTCCAAGAATTTAGTAAACGCCAAAGTTAATCAATCAGAATCTCTCCCTTCCCTGGGCAGGGATCTGGGTGTCTCTAACTGTCTCACCTGCAGGAATTGGCTTGTTGGCTGCTGACACTTCTCTTCTAGCTCACTGATCAAGTCACTGAGACGGGAAATCTCCTCAGACAGTTTGGTGACATTTTCATCCTGTATCTTCACAATTTCCTTGTCCAACTCTTCCAGCTGGGCGAGCAGGAGTCGCTCTTGTTCCTCCAGGAATTGCCGCAGTTGCTCAAATTCAGACACAATCTTCTGCCTCTCAGCTTCTATCTTTCCCTGTAATGAAGAGACAAACATGAAAAGGACAGGTCAGGGACTAGAGTTGCCAGATGTCCAGATTTCAACTGGAAAGTCCAGTTGAAAAGGGAACCTGGCAGTAGAAGTCTGGTTACTCACAGTAACTGGCTTCCACCACCAGAGGGCGAGAAGAGCAGCAGCTGCTGCTGGAGCCTGGAGGAGCACTCAGGGATGGTTCCAGGGGGGAGAAAAGTACAGGCATCTCCCCCATCCTGCTCCTATCACCCAGCCACCCCTGGAGCGTAGCTCTCCCTCCCCCACTCTGCCCCAGTCACCTCCCCCACCCTTATAGCCCCGCTCAGCTGGCAGGGGGAGGGAGGTGGAGAGAGCAGCAAGTGACAGTGGGAGAGGGAAAGAGGAGTGGGGGGTGGGGCCTCGAGAGAAAATGGTGGAGCAGGGCACAGGGCAGATTCCGGTGCTCAGCGTCCGGTTTTCACAAATGAGAAAGTTGGACATCCCAGACTCTTCCCATTTCCCTGATAGGAACAGTTCTTAGAGCCCTCTTTTCATATCAACATACTACGAACACATGGTCGAGATTTCAGGAGAACATGCCTGATATTCATTCAGGCCAGCTGAGAGACTGACATGTTCCGAAGTGCCTTGGTGACTTAAGCGTCCAATTCACATTTTCAAAAGGTCAATTTTAATGCTAAGGAGCCTACGTTTCTTTGAAAGTGACTTTTGAAAATAGGACACGTCTCCCTGCATTTTTAGCCCCTAAAAACCTTTGACAATCTGGCCCTTAGCCACTTGCAAAATTGTAAACCTTAGGCTCCGAATCACTTAGGCACTTTTGAAAATGTCACCCAATATCTCTAAAATGAGGAGTTTTCAAGTCTGAGTACGTTAGTATAGTCTGTTGATCACCTAGATTCTTCCAATAGCAGAAAGGTTGGAAGGGGGAGGTCAGAAATACATTGGCAGAGAGTTGTGGAGAAGACTGAAGAAGGAAAGAGTTCTGCTGGGTATCCACATAAAACACCAGTTACAAAACACACCATGCAAAATGCTTCTTCTCCAGCTTTTGCATGTTTCATCTGACATTTTGTTAATTACATTGTCCCAGAGGAAACCAGTCGTGTCTGGTGGTAATAGGTGGAGATTCAGGGTGAGGATTTCTGAGATACAAAACAGCCACTAGGTGCTTAAGTTCTACTGACAGTCAATGTGAATTAGGCACCTAATCACCATATGTGCCTTTGAAAATCTCCTCTGAAATCACTGTTTGTAGCTGGATGTGGGGGGAATAAGATCAGTACTTAGAGTTGAAATGGAAGCCAGTGGAGGAATCAGACCAGAGGGATGATATACACAGACAAACATGATCACACCCTGTAAGGGTATGTCAACACTTCAGGTTATCTGGGAGTTATCCAATACATTATAGCTAACCCTGAATTAACTTCAACCTTGCTCCTAGTTAGCACCGTTTATCTCAGTTTAACTGGACAAGGTGAATCCTAGACACCACACTAGGGTCAAATTAAATTAAGGTTTAAAAGGTTGCATGTCAGGAGTTTACACCAGTATAAAGACATTAAAAAGTGTTTGAGGTACATCTGTACTACACAAATGTAGAGGACGTACACTATATGCCCCTGCTAACATGGGCATAAATAGCAGTGTAGATGGTGAGGCACGGCTTAAGCAAGTAGAGTCACGATATGCCTGAACCCTATGGGTATAAACCCTACGGACATGGCTCTACACCCCCAAGCAGTGCCTCCTCCATCTACACTGCAGTGTCCCGCTGCTTCCCCAGTGCCAGAGACTTTCCTCACCGCTGGAGCCTTTCCCCACCACAGGAAAAGACTCCAGAAGTGGGGAAAGGCTCCGGCAGCTCTGCTGCCTCCCCCTGCTGGAGTTTTTTATTCACGCACATAGCTACACACCACAGCATGGACACAGCCTGTTTCTTACTGTGCTGTGTAGCTACACATACCCTACAGGTCGGCCCCAGCAGCGTGCCGTGTAGATGTAGCCATAGCTGACACTGTCCCCACAGAGAGAAATATAAACCCTGACTGATGTAACTGCTGGACCATCACAATCATAGAATAACAGGGCTGGAAGGGACCTCAGGAGGTCATCTAGTGCTCAAAGCAGGACCAATCCCCACCAGATCCCTAAATGGCCCCCTCAAGGATTGATCTCACAACCCTGGGTTTAGCAGGCCAATGCTCAAACCACTGAGCTATCCCTGTCCCAGGGGAACCTACCAGATATTCCTGGCTTTGTGTCTCTGCATCCTGTTTCCACTCCAGAAGTTCTTCTCTCTCTTTCTTCAGTGTGTTCAATTGGGCGTGAATTTGTTCCTGAGGCAAGATAAACAAGGTTGGGGGGGGGGAGGTTCAGCCTGCTGAGGAGTCTGTCCTCAGTGCAATTTATATACATTGCAGTGCTGATTTCATTATCTGAAGCTGGGATTTTCAAAGAAGACTCCTGGAGTTGGGTTCTCAACTACCATTGACTTTCTATCTCCCTCTCAAGTTGCCCCAAGACAGTGCTCATGGCAATGTCACAATTGCCTCTCGAGAGGTGGGAGATTCCTGTTCAAATCTCCTCATCTCATCAGGCAGAGGGAGAACTTGAACTGGAGTCTCCCACATACAAGATTTCAGAGTAGCTGCCGTGTTAGTCTGTATCCGCAAAAAGAACAGGAGCACTTGTGGCACCTTAGAGACTAACAAATTTATTAGAGCATAAGCTTTCATGGGCTACAACCCACTTCTTCGGAGTGCCTTACCCCCAGGCTAATGGTCATGAAAAAAGTCTACAACCTCTTCCCCGACTATGTTGTGCGGAGTGACATATGCGCAGAACTCCATCGTGCATGTAACAGCTTAGGTACCTAAGCCACCCGACTCCAGGAGAGGGGTTCCCAGGTGTGGATCCCAGAGACAGGCGCATTCCTACACCAAACTCTGAGGGGGGTGGGGCTTAGGACATACCCTTCTCATCAGCATCTCCCAAGGGCTAGTTTAGATGTCTCCCCACCTAGCAGGCTGGCTTTTGTGGATGCCTCTCTGCCCCCAAATGCCTAATTCAGGATTTTTTGTTCCAAACTGTACCCGATGATTGGAGGATAGCTGGTGGAAAGCCAGTTTTTTAAAAAGGCTCCAGAGGAAATCCTGGCAATTACAGGCCGGCAACCGTAAGGGCTTGTCTGATTGCCAGATGCTGGGACTGGGCAACAGGGGATGAATCCTTTCATAAATTGCCGTGTTCTGTTCATTCCCTCTGGGGCACCTGGCATTGGCCATTGTAGGAAGATACGATACTGGGCTACATGGACCATTGGTCTGACCCAGTGCAGCCGTTCTTATGTCCTTAGTGATTTTCTAGGTGCCTAAAAATTAGGCATTGCAATGCTGAGCAGCACAACACCCAAGTGCATTTGGGGATTCGGGCCTAAATCTCCTTTGCAAATGGGACTTTGGCTCTAAAGTCAATTGGAGCTTTTGAAAATGTGCTTCGAGGATCTTCTTCTGTAATTCACCGGGGGTGAGATGTTGCAGAGCCACAGAGTGGATTTAAAAGCACGGCTCCCATTCATTTCATGGCAGCTGGGCATCTCAGGCCCCAGTCTCAGCCCTGCTTGCTTTCCTTCTATGCTGTACTGTATGTGTCATGCTGCCAGGGAACAGAGAGGCCTTGGGGGCACCAGGCCTGATATAGTGACTTAGGGACTCTGTCTAGAACAGCCCTTTGCCTCCAGCAAATCCTCCAAGTGCTGCAGGGCAAAGGGTTGAAGTCGCATCCATTTTGCTGCAGTGTAGGGTAGGGCGCCCTGCTCCCAGGCAATGACAGAGAAAACTATATGAAGAGAGCTGGACATCAAAGAGTTAAAGCTGAGCAACTTAAAGGGAAGGAGTTTTGGTAAGAACGTTTAACACACTTTAAAAAAAAAAGTACATTAAACTCCGGCGCCTAATGATCACTTGGGAGAAAGACTCCTGGTTAAAAATCCAACTCGCTCACAAAGCGCATAAATATTGTCCTCGATTGTTTGGCATGGGGGAAAAGGGCTTGTTCTCACTTCTTGAGGTGCTCCAGTACTGGGACTCAACATGGTCCTGGGAATCAACCATTTTCTTCCTTTAATCTTATTGTGACACTAATACAGTCCACTTTATCCTTAAAGCTAGAGTAGCACAGAGCACAGCAGATTCTGTCCAGAGTCGATTGCTCTGCCAACCAGCTTTTTAAGGTTCCATCCACTTGGCCTTCATGGGCCCTAGAATGTTGCCAAACTCCAAAGTTTGTGTGGGCAGGACGCGAGCCACTGGTTCAGGGAGGCTAGCCCCCAGTCCAGCCCCTTCTGCCCGAGGCCCCCCAGACCAGCCACGGGGGAAGAGCTGCAGAGCGCCGGCAGGAAGCAGGAGGAAGTCTAGAGGTGGAGGGGGGGTTGGGGCCACGCAGGGCTGTGCCTCCCCTGGCCTGTCATACCCGTTGCCCATTATTTCTGCTTCAGGAGCAGCAAAGTGACCATCCTTCAGCAAACCCGGGAAAACAGGAATTCATCATCCTGGTTTTTCCTTGAGGAAAAAGTTAAGCAGATTAACTTTTGTTTCTTTAACAGAAATCTTTCAGAGCACCTTATGCATCCCAAAGTAGCCGAGAACAAACCCCTTGAGAACACTGCTGACCATGTGTTATTTTCCTGCTGCTCGCCTGGAAGCAGCGGCCATCAGATGTGAAATGCTCAATCTGGGGCGCTACGCCCAGCACCAGCTCTGTTGAAACTCCAGTCTGCAGCTGTGCTGAGATGTTTGTAATGTGATGGTAGAGAACTGCATGACAGGAGCGATGAGAGGCAGCGTGGTCTAGTGGCTAGGGTACTAGGATGGGCGTGGGGAGGCCAGGGTTTAATTCCTGGTTCTCCTACTGAGCTGCTTTGTGAGCTTGGTTAAGTCACTGCCCCTTCTGTGCCTCTGTCTGTTTCCCACCCACTCCTTCGAATTGCCCACCAGATCAGGCCCCACAGATAAGAGAAGCAGAATGCCTGGTTTCCCCCAGCTCATGGATTGCTCTGGGTGTGGCCTATGGAGGTGGCTGTGCACATGCCCAGAGACAGAAACAAAGGCACTGAGAGAAGTAGTACCCTGAATACACAGGCACTGAGTGAGTTTGGGCTCCTACAGGGCTCGGCAGGAATTCTGTGGATTGCAGAGGAGCCTAAAACTGGCATTTAGGTGCCTAAACTTGAGATGTATCCACTTATGTGAGGTATAGACACCTTAAGTACCTTTGGGAATCCCCAGCCTTTGTCTGCCTGTACCGCCGTTCCCTCTCCGACAGTTTGTCCACCTTGACTGTTGATCAGTGGTCCCCAAACTGTGGAGCATGGAAGAACATTTGCGGGACCATGGCAGGGCCAAGGCCAGCCCCCACAAGGGGCAGGGAGGAAGTGCCACCCAGATCAGCTATGGCCCCCAGCCCCTACCCCAGCTCCACTCCCGGCCCCAGCTTTGACCCTGGCTCTGTTCCCAACCCCAGTTTGAGCCCCTGACTCCCGGCCCAGCCCCAGCCCCACCTCCAACCCTGAGACACCCCCACAGCTGTGGCCCCAGTCTCTGACTGTGGCCCCACTCCCAGCTCCCAACCACAGCTGGGGGTGGGGTGGGGGGCATAGCCAGGGTAAGGGAGAGCCTGAGGGGAAAAAATTGGGGACCACTGGTTTAGACTCTCAGCTCTTTGGAGCAGGGATGTCTCTCTGTGTGTTTGTACAGAGCCTAGCACAACAGGGGCCATGATCTCGGTGCCTTTAGGAACTATTGTAATAAAAGCTGTAAACATGTCCAAACCAAAGTAATTACCCTGCACAGCAAAGTCCTATCTTGTAGGCCTGGGCAGCCTCTTCTGTGGGGACCACCAAGTGAGCACGGTGAGCCTGGGACTCTCTGCAGATCACACAGATGAGCATTTGGTCCTGGTTACAGAAGAGTTTGAAAGGCTCCTGGTGCACCTTGCACCAACCTTCTCCTGCTGCTGCTGGGACACTCAGCTGCTTGGCTATTTCTACCACATTCCCCAGTTGTCTGTTCGGCCTCAGGGTCCTCTGGGGAAAGGTCTCTCTGCACTGAGGGCAGGAGACAGCTATATCTGATCCCTCCCAGCACTGGGTGATGCAGGCTCGGCAGAAACTGTGCCCGCAATCTAAAAACACAGGATCTTTATAAAAACTCAGACAGATGGAGCAAGTTGTTTCATCTCGGAGGCTTTTCAGAGGATTCGCAGCAGCCATGGCTCCCTGCAGACAGTGTACCGGGATCTAAGACGTGGCTTAACCTGGCTTGTTTGGGGACTTTTCTTGCTGCTTTGCTTTTTTTTTTTTTTTTTTTTTTTTTTTTTTTTTTTTTT